TCTGCCTGGCTTTAGTGACATGAGTACAGGAGATTTCTTTTTTTTTTTTTTTTTAAATGGTTTATTCAGAGGCTTTTATTTTTTTTTTATTTATATATGAAATTTATTGTCAAATTGGTTTCCATACAACACCCAGTGCTCATCCCAAAAGGTGCCCTCCTCAATACCCATCACCCACCCTCTCCTCCCTCCCACCCCCCATCAACCCTCAGTTTGCTCTCAGTTCTCAACAGTCTCTTATGCTTTGGCTCTCTCCCACTCTAACCTCTTTTTTTTTTTTTTCCTTCCCCTCCCCCATGGGTTCCTGTTAAGTTTCTCAGGATCCACATAAGAGTGAAACCATATGGTATCTGTCTTTCTCTGTATGGCTTATTTCACTTAGCATCACACTCTCCAGTTCCATCCACGTAGGAGATTTCTACTGATATAGTGGGGACATGGCTTTTCCTTTGTGAGGGATTTCTGTTATTGAGTAATATTTAAGGTGCATGAAAATATATTTAAGATAATGTAACAACTATTCATGGAGCCACCATCTAACTTCTGCGACTTGCTTTTTGTTGCTCATCATTCCATTTGAGAAATTTATCCACATGGATTTTCTGGCTCCAGCTTACTGAATTTTCACTACTTTATTTAATAGTATATTTTTCTGTGATCAACAATGCTTTGTGTGTGTGTATAAATATATTTATATGGGTACACTTACACGTGCATGTATTCATGTGTATATATATCCTTGCTTATGTGGTCAAGAATTTCTCTAGAATATGTACCTATAATGGAAATTCAGGAAGGCATATATTTAATTTTACTAATATTTCCAAATTTGCCCCCAACATGATTATGCTAATTTACCTTCTACCAGAAATATATTATTCCACATCTTCACCAAAACTTAGCATTTTAAACTGAAGAATACAAAATTATTTTTCAATGCAGCATTAATATATAATTATCAAATAGTGAGTTGTGTTTACTTTCACATTTCTTTTTTTTTTTTTAATTTTTTTTTCAACATTTATTTATTTTTGGGACAGAGAGAGACAGAGCATGAACGGGGGAGGGGCAGAGAGAGAGGGAGACACAGAATTGGAAACAGGCTCCAGGCTCTGAGCCATCAGCCCAGAGCCCGACGCGGGGCTCGAACTCACGGACCGCGAGATCGTGACCTGGCTGAAGTCGGACGCTTAACCGACTGTGCCACCCAGGTGCCCCTACTTTCACATTTCTATTGACCATTTAGGTTTTCTTTTCTATAATATCCTGATTGTATATTTTGTAAATTTTTCCCTTGGGATAATTTATAGAAATTCTTTACATATACTGGATGCTAATTACCTGACATTTATATATGTTGCAAAAAAAAAAAAAATTACCTAAGTAAATTTCTAGTCAGTAATTAGCCTCTTCTCTTTTACAATGTTGGTATTTTTAATTTAAAAATGGTTGGATTTTCAATGTTTTATTTTTTGTGCATTCATGTCCTATTTAAGTATTTTTCTGTATATCTAAGTCATGAGTATTTTGTTTTGTTTTACTCTCAAAGCTTTACAATTCAAATCTTTAATCCATTTGGAAATTATTTTCATAAAATGTAAAGTAGGAATACAAGATTATTTTTCATGTGTATAAACATTTATAGCACCAATGTATTGGACCATTTTTCACTGACGTACATGCTCCTGGCTTCATACATCAAGCTTCCAGAGGCCCATGGGCCTGTCTTTTATTTCTTTTTATGGATTCCATTGATCCATTTGTCCACCCTCACACCATTCCACACGATAATGTCTTTACTACTATCACTTTTTAAGAAGTTCTGATTCTGATAGAGTAAGTTCTCATCCTCTTCTCCTTTAAAATTGTCTTTGCTATTTTTAGGTATTTTCTCTCCCACATAAATTTTAGAATAAGTTTGTCAAGATGTATGTAAATTTCTTCCAAATTTGCTTAGAATTACATTGAATTTGTAGATTAATATGGGGGGGGATGTAATGTTTACAATATTGAGTTCCTCTCCATGATCCTGGTCTGTTTGGGTCTTCTTTAAGCCTTTAAATAAAGTTGTATTATCTCAATAAGGGTCATGAACATTCTTTCTTAGATTTATGCCTAGACACTTTATTTTTGATGTTATTATAAGATAAATTTTTTAATAACACTTTTGATTTCTGGCGAACAGAAATTCAATTGATTTGTTTATATTAAACTATTATTAAATAACTTTACTAGGCTCACTAAGAATTTATCTGCCAATTCTCTAGGATTTTTTATAGAGACAATTACATTATCTAAAGCTAATAACTGTTGTGGTTTTTCCTCATAATCATTTTACCTTTCATGTCTTCTTCATTTTGTTCTGGCTTCTGAAAAAATACTGAACAGATTCAGTCATAACAAGCATCCTTGTCTTATTTTTTATAGGCACTGTGTCTCATGATTTAATAGTAATTATGTTTAGTCCAGCAATGCAGTAACTTTTACCAGGTTATAACAGTCTCTACCTGTTTTCATTTTTGTTCTATTGAATCATGAAAAGTTATTGAATTTTACCAAACAATTGTTCTGTATCTATTGAGAAGATCATATGGCTTTTTAAAGAATATATCGATATGGCAAATTATATCAATAAAATTTCCAATGTTAAAAAATGCTTTCATTCCTGGGATAAATACAAATAGGTCTTGATTACTGATGGTAAGTACCTTTTCGCTGCTTCTGATGTTTCTTTCCTGCAAGAAAATTCAGTCTGTATAATCGCAGACTCTCTATCCCCATCTTATCCACTAAGTTCCTAAAAAGATGGCATGACAAGTCTGATTAGTAAAACTGAGAACAATCTGGCATGTTTTGCCCTGCCTTAATTCTTAGCAGCAGTCAACCTACTAAAGCCCATGCTCCCCTGAACTCCCAGAGGCACTTTCCCACCATGTGCAAGAGGCATGTTCCTATCACTGTCATTAAGACTGGGTGGGAAAAATATCAACTTATGGTGTTCATTGGCAGCAAATAATTTGACTAATAAACTTACAATTTGGGGCATGCCTGGCTGGATCAGTTGGGGGAATATGCAACTGTTGATCTTGGGGTGGTGGGTATGAGCCCCATGTTGGATGTAGAGATTACTTAAAAATAAAATCTTTCCAAAAATAAATAAATAAATAAACCTAAAATTTTCCCCCAGGTGCCCAAAGGTGATATTATGGTCCCCATACAGACATTATCTTTTATTTATCAACTTGTTCAAATCCAAAAAGGAAGAGAATAGATATTTACGAGAGCCTCTTTGATATCCTAGAAACTGTTTCTTTAATACATGAATGGATTTGGTCAATGAATGTGTATTTAAGTTGTTTGCATCTAAATTCACAAATGAGGTTGGGTCTAATTTTCTTTTCTCATATTTTATTTATTTTGGTTCCAATGCAATATTGACATGAATTGGAAAATGTTCTTTATTGTGATTTTCAGGAAGAGCTTATATAATATTAGAATTCATTGTTCCAAAAAAAATTAAAAAAAATAAAAAATAAAGAATTCATTCTTCCATAAATGCATGATAGAACTTTCCTATAACACAATGGGGACAGTGTTTGTTTGAGTAAACTTTAAAATATCAAGCAAAGTCATTTAATGGTTTTAAAATATTTAAATATATTTAAATATTTCACACACACACACACAATCACTCCAACTGTTATCACTACCCATTTAATCTACATTTTTCCTAAAAATTTTTTTTAAACAAAATAAATTTTCCAAATTATATGTATGGAATAAAACACAGTTCAACAAACATCATGTAGCAGCAAACAAGTATAAAATGGATAGTAAGTTTTATTACTATGTTTGACTTTCCTGGGTAAATGAATCAAGGCAGGAATGGAGTTTATTCCATTTTTTCCCCAAAAGAACAAACAATAGGGGAAAAAATAAGGTTTGTTATTTTAAATGTAGAGATTTCTGGTCTACGGAGAATACTATAGACAAAGATAATAGACAACAGAATGTAAGAAAATTTTTGTCAAGTCAATAACAGAGTGCTCAAACTATATAAAGGAAGAGCATCCATCCATAAATTGACCCACAGAGATATCGATAAAAAATATGATTCCAAAATTCTACAAAAATATACTATACAAAGATCAAATTAGTTTCTGGTTAGAAAATAAAACAAATTAAAATGGAGATGTCACTTTACAAGTATTTTCTGGTATAAAAACTATTAAGAAAATACCAATGTTCCCAAAAAAGTGAGGATATGGGAACCCCCATGAACAATTAGCAGGAATGCACACTGGTGCCTCCATTATGCAATGTGATCTGGAAAACTTGGTCAAAATAAATACATGCATACTCTAAGAGTCAACATTTTTTGTTCCTAGAAAAATTTAGTTATTTGTAGTGGACATACAGTGGAAATAAAAAACACTGAGTTATTTGTGGTGGAAACAAGTTGTAGGTGGCCGACTACCCATTGTTAGGAAAGCACATAGGTAAATTATGATAGATAGACACCATAGAGTAATGTTACTCAGTGTGTGGTCCCTGGACCAGCACCCCAGGTCCTGGACTCTCTGTTTCCACTCAATGATGTAATAAGAATTGAAAGTGAGACTAAGCATCTAAAACTATTACAGAATTTTGACAATGCTGATAATTTTTTATTGCTATATGCAACAATATTGATCCATGACATATTACAAATTTTACAAAGAAAATGCTCCTTTACCATAGATAACTTGATAAACACTTCCATAAAAGACTCTACTTGGGCATGAGTCCATGATAATAGAGGGAGCAGAATTAGTAAGGAGACAGAAAGAGTAAGGTGTGAATACAGAAAAAAAATTAAAGGAAAATCATATAAAAATTTATGGGTAAATCAAGATTTTCATACATAATAATTTATGTAAAATGGGATTTATGAATTAAAATGTATACAGCATAAAAGAAAGCTTAATTTTTAAAAGTATGTTTTCATATGTCCCCTAATTAATAGACTTAAGAAATAAACAAAAGCTTAAATTCTTAGTATAATTAAAGAGTCAGTTTTCACTCTCATAACAAAGAAACTGATCCATGGCAATTTTCCCAAAACATAGATCTAAAGTATCTAAAGTCAGATGTCAAGGTATAGACTTTAAATGTGAGTCAATTGTCTCATAGAAAATATCCTCTGACTCCATTGTGAAACCAAATATTATACCATTGCCAATTCCAAAATTAGTTAAAGGACCACAAGGTCTTAGCTTTCTCTGCTCTTCTTTCTTTACACCTTTCCAGCTGATACTTAATCTTTGCTAGCCATGGAACAAAACAATGGCACTGAAATAAGTGAGTTCATTCTCCTGGGATTTGCTGGTCAACGCAAGTCGTGGCATATTCTCTTCATAGTATTTCTAGTGATCTACGTGGCCATCCTAGTGGGCAATATTGGAATGATCCTACTCATCAAGATTGATTCTTGCCTTCATACCCCGATGTATTTTTTCCTCCAACACTTGGCATTTGTTGATCTCTGCTACACCTCTGCTATCACTCCCAAAATGCTGCAAAACTTTGTACAAACAGAGCAATCCATCTCATTCATAGGGTGTATGGTGCAATTACTAGTCTATGGTGCTTTTGCAACGACTGACTGTTACATCTTGGCTGCAATGGCAGTGGACCGGTATGTCGCCATCTACAATCCACTCCACTATCCAATAGTCATGTCCCAGAGAGTCTGCATTCAACTCCTATTTGGCTCATACTTCATAGGTGTTCTAAATGCCTCTGTAAACACAAGTTTTACTTTTTCACTGAACTTTTGCAAATCCAATAAAATTAACCACTTTTTCTGTGATGAACCCCCAATTTTAGCTCTCTCTTGTTCCAACATTGACTTCAACATCATGCTGCTAACTGTCTTTGTGGGGTTTAACCTAATGTTCACTGTGCTGGTTGTCATCTTTTCCTACATATATATCCTGGCTGCCATCCTGAAGATATCTTCCATTGCAGGGAAGAAAAAAAGCCTTCTCCACGTGTGCCTCCCACCTGACAGCAGTCACTGTTTTCTATGGGACTCTGTCTTACATGTATCTGCACCGTGGGACCAATGAGTCTCAAGAGCAAGAAAAAATGGCTTCTGTGTTTTATGGCATCATGATCCCCATGTTAAACCCCCTCATCTACAGCCTGAGAAACCAAGATGTGAAGGAAGCCCTAAAAGTGGTTACAAAGAAGTGCTTCTGGTTTGATCATTGATTTCTGATTTTTTACACTTGTAAACAAGACTGACAGTGCCAGTTTTTAAGAAATCAAAACCAAACTTCCAAGCAACATAAGAAAATTTGCTCAATCTTTCTAATACTGAGCTGCAAATTAAAGTTTAACAGTGAGATAACCAGTTTAAAGTAACTGGCAAAACTGAAAAAGAATCATAACACTTACTAATTGCTGTGATGCAAGGGCAATCATGCTCTCATTCATTGTGAATAGAAAATTGAAGTGTTACTTCACCCTAGAAATTATCTGGCAATATCTTTTTTTATGTTTTTAAATTTATTTTTGAGAGAGAGAGAGAGACAGAGTGCAGGTGGGGGAAGGACAGAGAGAGAGGGACACATAGAATCCGAAGCAGGCTCCAGCTCCGAGCTGTCGGCACAGACCCTGATTGGGGGCAGCGGGGGGCAGCTGGGTTCAAACTCACAGACCATGAGATCATGACCTGAGCTGAAGTTGGACGCTTAACCAACTGAGCCACTCAGGCACCCCGGCAGTATCTTTTTTAAACAAACAAAGAAACATCTTCAATTCAGAATTTCAGACGTGTAAACTGATCTATGGAAATAGAAATTCCAGTCTATAAGGTCATATATTTAATAGATATTAAATTGCAGCATTGTTTAGGAAGATAAGACCAAGAAAGTGAATATTGTTCAGTAGGGAAATAAATTCGTATTTGTTATGATTCCAAAATCTGTATCTGTTGCTACATAGCAAGTTTCTACAAATTTAAGGGCTTAAAACACAATTATTATTTTATGCTTTTATGGGTCAGGAATGTGGACACTGCTTAAATACATCCTCTGAGATGCTACAATCAAGGTGTCAACCAGGACTGAGAACTGAGGCTCAACTGGGGATCCAGTTTCCAAGCCCCCTAATGTAATAGGCAGGACTCATCTCCTTGCAGTTGTAAGACTGAGATTCCTGCCTTCCTACTGGCTGCCAGCCAGAGGTTTCGCCCAGCTCTTAAAGGCTATCCACAGTCTTTTCTGTGTGGCCCTCTCCATAACCCCTCTCATAACATGGCAGTTTACTTTTCAAAGCAGGGAAGCCATACGGTTGATCGGTATATATACCATGTGAAACAAAACACACCTCTATGCCCAAATCATACTGCCATTTCAAGACTCAGTCTCTCCTTGAAGTTTTCCCAGCTTAGCCTTTGTTTTTTGCCAACTTTCTACCCCTTGGGGGTAATTCTTTCTTCCACTGAGTACCTACAGCACTTTATTTATTATTTATCACTTCCTATATAAATTACTTACTTATAAGACTCTCACTACCATTTATACCATTGTCTTTCTATGACCTTTTAACATCTGGCATAGAGCCTTAGACACAGTAGGTATTCTATAAATATTGAATGAATAACTGGTGATAAAATACAATAATACTGACAGCTTTCTAACTGTAAGTTCTGTGAGTATGTAGCCTACACTAGTGGTCTTTAAAAACCTATCTGTGGGCAGCAGTATTCAAATGACCAGGAAAAGTTTTTAAAGTGCAAATAATCATTGCTTAGTCCTGGTGGTATTGATTCAGTAACATTAGCCAGAGGCCAATAACTATAAATATCTATACATGCAGAGTGTTTCTTAAGTTGCATGGTCCACTGGAAAGCAGTATTTAAGAGCACAAGATTTTAAATAGTTTACTATGTAGTTGATGTCCCAACTCTGTCACTTGCCAATACTGTCCTTTACAAATTATTTCATCTTTCAAACCTTGTTTCCCATAACAACACATATCTCAAGAGATTTTTTTTTTGCTTGCTTGTTTGTTAGTAATAGGTAAGCTAAAGAATAGAAATCATAGTACCTGGCACTAAGGTGTAGCAGTCTTTATAAAAATACCCTCATTTCTCTCTCTCTCTCTCTCTCTCTCTCTCTCTCTCTCTCTCTCTCTCAGTAAAAAGTCTCCCAAAACAAAACCAAACAAAAAGTCTCCCAGGGTTTGCAACATGAAATCTTTCCCCTCTGGGAAACTCCTCTCTTTCAGCAGAAAACTAACCAATGAAGACTGTTTTCTTTGATCCTGTCTCAGCATCTAGAGGCAGACACTCGAGGGAACAGACACTTACTCCCACACCTCAACTATACACTCTTTCTGTGGAGAAATCACTTGGTGAAACATAAGCCTGCACTAGCTGGGGGAGGGGTGGGGGGGGTGGAAATCTAAAGACAAATCCCCTGTAAATAAATCAAATTGAATTTTTCCTGTTCAGCCGTGCATTATTTTGACAGGGGGGAACCACAATAAAATCTATAGGGTTAGAGCCAATGTGCCAATATAATTAACTCCAAGGGTGGGTATAGTCATCTTCAGCAAAGTAAAAATGTAAATGGAGAGAGGAAATTATCAATCATATTGAGAAATTATGAAACGGTCAGAGAGATGACAGCTAACATATTAGCCATGATGTCCCCAGCTGAACTGAACAACTTTTACAGAATATAAGCAATAATAAGACAAGGCCACTCCATGAGTGAGATGAATTCAGACAGAGAAAAGGCCAGTCTTGCGACGATGTCTGAAAAGTGACAGGAACAAGAACTCAAATATTCCCCTTTCCAACGAAAAGGAGTAAACATCCCTTCCCTAATCACTTTAATGTCTCTCTTTCTGGTATAAATTACAAAAGTGTCTAATCATCAAATGCCTGGTAACACTCAAAACAGAACTTGCGTCCACTTCCTAAATCCTTCTTCAAATCACCCAGCGCAGGTCTAAATCCTTCAAAAGTCCTTCTCAGTTTCCTCTTCTCCAACACGCGGGGCGCTCTGAGATGCAACGTGGTTTTCCTCACTGCAGCAGGTGAGGGAGGCCCGTCTACATCTGGGCTCCTGGTGTTGGTTGGCTATTGTGTGTTGAAGGTGAGAACTGTGCCACGTGCATCTATTACCTCTCTTGAATTTGGCTTCTCTTTGTTACTCATTTTCTTACCGCAAAAGAAACTAATATGTGCCCATGATCTTTTAAAATATAGCTGGTCTTAAAGTTATTTTTATTCCTCAGCTTTCTTAAGTTTGCCATATATTTTTCCAGATGGAGTTTTCCTCACATAAGCACGCGCGCGCACAAACACACACACACACACACACACACACACACACACACATAAACACACACAGATTTTTAGTTAAAAAACACTTCACATACTATATACATTTTTCTGCAAAATGCTTTACTTACCTAACAGTACGTTATTAACAGTTTTTCTAAAAAATACACAGAGATATACCCCATTATTTTGGGGTGTTTCATGGAACCATAAACTATAGATTCACTCTCACTTATTTTAGCATCACCCTACCTACTGCTTATATTTTGGCATTAAAAAAAACAGTACTTCGTAGAATCCCCTGGATTTCTGGGTTTAAAGTCAATTTTTTCCATCTCCTTCTATCAAAGACAAAACGGAAGTTGAGGGAAATTACAGTTGCTGTCCAAGATCACCTACCTACTGGATGCTAGATTCAAGATGCAAATCTCGATCTTTCTGACTACAAAGTCTATCTACGTTTCATGGCAGGTGATATAAAATAAAACCTCAAGGTAGCTTGGATACGATATAGTTTGGACAACTCCAAAATGCTTGTATTATTCATCCAGTTAAAAGCCCCTTCCAGAACTTCTACTTCTTCCCAAGATGGAGTAACAGGGATTGGATTTACCCTCCTACCTGAAACATGAAAAAGTGAACAAAATATATAAACTAATGGTTTGCAAGACACTTGCATCAGGCTATAAAAGACAATGATTCTTGAGAAGCAGCAAACAAATGAGCTGTAAAATTTCCCAGACTTCTGCCTTAAGAAAGTTTCCAGACCACAGTGCAAAAAGGTTAGTAGACTTTCTAAAGGAATGGAGCTGAAAATCTGGACAGACCAAGGAAACCAGGGTTTGCAGGACAAGACACTGAAGAAAAGGAGTTGCACAGACAGAAAACCCTAGATGTGCAAAGGGCCCCTCAAATATTTAGCTGAAAGCTGGTCAGTACACTTTCTTCCTCTATGCATTTTTTTCTCTCAGTAAAAATATGTAATATCTGTGTCTAAAACTATAGAAATCTACAATGACCTTTTTGTCGATTTTTCTCTTTTCTAGTAGGTGACACAGGCAGGGATCAAAATAACTTTAAAAGCATATTGCAGAATTCATTCCTTCATTTCATCTATTCCCTGCCTTGTTCCCAGGAAAAGTTTAAAGTATATTATGGACTCTCTAAACACAAATTTTAATTTTTATTCAAGAAAGTTTAACACACTATAACACAAAGCCATTTTGTCAGATGTCATTCTGCAAAGGTGATTTTAATGGTGAAATGCCCATTTAATAAGTGAACATAAGCTTTATATTTAAGGCAAATTATTCTGCAAAACTTCATCACAGATGATCAGAGATTGAGGTAACTTCAGTGAACACCAGCACCGTAATCCAATGATGTATAAAAGAATAGAAGGTGAGGAATGTACCTCCTTGATCCTTGTGAGTTTTCATATTTTCTGGCAGATGTGAGCATAAAGAGAAGCAGAGAAATTGGTAGAAAAATGACACCTTTGCCCTAAGAATTGTAAAAGAGAACCTGGAGAAAATCAAACACTGGGAATAAGTCTCCTGGAAAATCATTTCATGGAAGAATGGAATTACAACAGCATCATTCCATGGAAAAAAGCCATGGATGTTCTTCTTTTATGTAAGACAGTTTATTAAAAGCCTGGAGACAGAATCAGACTTATTATTAACTAAAATTAGTATAGGCTTTCTACATGTCCACATATAGAAAATACATTATCTCGTTAGCTTTAACAAAATAATCCTCATTTCAGATTATGAAAAACATGTAACCCCTATTTTCACATTATGTAACTCAGAGCAGTTGAACAATCTGTTCAAACCACATAACTAAATGGTGAAACCAGGGTTTTAATTTAATCCCAGAGACTGCACTCTTGACTAATTAGATAGATAAATGATTGATTGATAGAGAAAGAGAGAGAGAGAAAGAAAGCATTGGAGGAGCAGAGAGAGAGGGAGAGACAGAATCCC